TTGTGGAAACACATTTCCCATTTCTCGAGGCCAGTCGTGCGGCTGATGGCGGGGTTCGAGAGTGGCAGAACGAGACGAGGGAGTTCCGTTAGCGATCGATGAGCGCTCATTAATAAATCTCATAATTTAGAAACTTTTTAAAATCGAAAGATACGCTTTTCCGGATATAAACTGACATAAGACAAAATTTACTACAAAAGAACTACAAAAAATTGTTTTTGTGCAGGTTTATATAAAGCACATCGAAAATCAATCGGTAAAAATTATGCTACATGAGTAATCAGGCTGTACTGTAAAGAGTTTTTGCAGGCAGCCAAAAGAAAGCCCATTAAAAGGCCGTCATCCTGACGTAACTTAAAAATACGGTGATAACGCTACATGATGAGTGATTTTACAAGGCTACTCAAGTACAGTGGAACCTCGGTTAACGCGTTTAACCCGTTTCAGCACCGGCTTCGTCTTGCAAAACACTGGTCTCGGAAAACGTAATCAATCAAGCTGCATCAGGTCACTGATTGGCTGCAGGCGACCGAGGACCCAGGCCCTGGAAGCACAACTCAACGCCCGACACAGGCCCACACACAAACTGAGCGAAACCTCGTCAAGCGCAACAACTTTTCTGCGATTGGCTTGCTTGTTACCTGAAATGCTTGTTTATGGGACTGCTCGTCACCCGAGGCTCCTTTGTATATTATACAATACAAACTTGTCGCAGAATACCACGCATGTTTACCAGGATGCCTTCAGCTACAGTACAGTGCGGTACAGTGGAACGTCGATTAACGAGTTTAATCCGTTATGGCACCGTGCTCATCATGTGAAACGTTCGTCTTTCGGAACAGTTCACTGAATGGCTGCAGGCGACCGAGGATCCACGCCCTGGGAACAATACTCAACGACTGATACCGGCACACACACACACACGCACTGACAACTCATTAGCTGAGCAGAATCAATCGTCAATCGAAACAAATTTTCTGCGCATGCATCGCTTGTTACCTAAAATGCTCGTAAATGGAGCTGCCCATCATCCGAGGTTCCACTGTAATCTCTTTTTTGGAATCAACAGGACATTCCGCAATTTTGACTCACATTGCGCTTGACAGCCCATATATTGCTTATATTGTGCCGGCTACACTCCACTTACGGAGCAACAACCTAGGTCATCGTACCTTCCGTCACGATCTAAACTGAAAAAGTAATCGGTTGAATGATGATATATGATACACCGAAGATAAAAAAGCCATAAATTGCCTAGTGTTTAGAAGCAGATAGGGCTAACGGCACAAAGGCATTTCCGGCTTCACAGTTCCCGTTTCTGCGCTGAAAAGTATAGTAGATAGGCGCCCACCGATCGGTTATGGAACTCACTCGTCCTGTTGTGCCTCAGAGCTTGTTTTCGAGACCGACCAGCAGCCGCTCAAGGGTTAGCATATTATAGGCAGAAGTACATTACCAAGAAAGACTAGAGAAACCGGAATGATAGTTTCTGGCTTATTAGCCGTCCTCAGTCAGCCACACCCAACCCAGGGGTTTAAATGGAGGTTCGAACCAGCGATCTTGTTAGTTAGAAGTCAAACGCTCTAACCACTGTCCCCCGGGCTCTTTCCCTTGCAGGTTCCCATCGGGCGTATACATAATGGTAGGCGACGAGCCCGTTGTGCAGTGGTTAGAGCGTTGGACTTCTACCTAATAAGGTCGCGGGCCGCCACCCCTGGGGTTGACTATGGCCGGCTGATGATAGGCTAATAAGCCAGAAACTGTTATTCCAGTCTCCGTTGTTCTTGTCAGTAATGGATTACTGACTAAAAAGGAATCTTAAAATTTCCAAAGCCCTAAAGAAAAAGAGTGGGTTCAAATGACGCAGATTAAGCAGTGCAGACACTTACCTCTAGCTCCTTGCCAAAGATGTCGCGCAGGAGGGCAAGTTCTTGCTTGATCTCCTGAAGGTCGCTCTTATCACTAATGGAAAAAAGTGGAAAAAACATTTGGAAGAAACCATGAAGGCTAAATGAGTTAAAAGAAAATGTTTTTTTAGTAAATGAAGTACCCAGCGACTGGTTTCAACCCTTACGTAACATAGGCTACACTTATGCATGCCTATTAGGCTCCAGAAGGGCAGCACTACTGCATCTTCTAATATTTCATTCTTGGATGCTGAGAACACACACCGGAAATCCCAACTGTGCCTGTGGCTTAATACAATCGTGCAGACGACAGCATACTAAATGTTCGACGTCACAAACCGTGCTGTACTGGAAACAATTGCAAACCATCCTAATTGTCTGGATAATCACCCATATCCTTTACTGAGAAAATAATGATATCCAATAACTCCTTTGGCTTTGATTATCTGCCAAGGAAACGGCGAATGCTGAACTCAGAGGCCAGATATGAACCAAAGATATCCACCTCGGAGATAGAGTGAACGACGATAACTGACTCAAAACTACAATTCGTGGCAAAGTCATGAAAATCAAGGACGTATTGAATCCCGATGAGGATTCGGGTGTAGTGTATCGGAGCCCGTGACCAAACTGTCCTTAAAATTGCACAGGTCACACTGGACGAGATTTCGCATCACACAAGCTGGCTGTGAGACGGGATGATGGATTATCTAAAGTGACTGTCAACACCTATTACATGGGTCCCGCGTTTAACTTCGCAGCCACTCAGATAATCGGCCATGCTAGAAGCAGGACAAGCCGCGAATTGATTGAAGCCCCGGCTTCTGATGAGAAACCTATCAATCGATATATCGACCTGAAGCCGGCCGACAGAGCGCTACGCAGTCATCTCCGGACTGGCCTTACTGGTGTGTGATTGGCCCCTATGCCCTATAACTGTATTCGCCTGGAGTTCATATTTGCACTCAAGTTCATAATTGGAGGACTAAAAACGTTCAATGACTGTCAACACGAAATAAGGATCCCTCCACTTTCTGTTCCTAAGGTATTCGATCGACTCAGTAACAACTGCGTGAGTATTTCAAGCGCAGACAAAACCTTCACACAGCACACTTCCTTAGCACCTACATTTTCTCTGGTTTTACTGAAACGATCTACCAAATCGATGGTATAGTAAAAGGTATTCTACTCTGAATCTTTAACTGATTGCCCTCACAGTACGCCGCTATGGAAACGACTGGTTCCTCCACGTGGTTTTGACTGACCAGCTGCATCTCTAGGGTGAACTTTTATCGGTTAGGGTGACAGTTTTGGTTGAAAAAAAGGTTAGAAGCCTCCATCGTAGATGGTTCTGGCACGTATTCAGTCCACCGAAAAATAACCCCGTCAGCGTAGCTCTGTCACCAGGACCGCTGGAGTCGGAGCCACCAATAGTGGAGTTAATTTGATGCCATTTGCATCGGGAATGGTGTCGAATCTGCTAGTTGACAGTGGAGACCAACCAATTTCGAGGCCCCTGCTCTCAATGGTCTGCTCCGCTTGAAGATGTTGCGGGAAATGCAACTGATAAACCAATTCTAGTAGCAGTTGGTACAGTTGGTTACGCTGTAAAGTAGTTCGAAGTAGTCCCCGTGAAGAAAATTACAACTGATGCCAACTAGTAGTTTAGGGAAGAACAGCAGATATAACTATTTCCTCCGAGGCAGATGAGGCTTTGCTTTAAAATCCCTCGCTGGATTCTTAGCACAGAGCCCATAACTCAGGTTGATTCGACTAATTGTTGGACCCAATCATAAACGAGTCCAGTACAAATACGACCTATAATTTTATTGCCTATCCCTTACCCAATAACTTCCTGAACACACTGTGGGGGCGAGGTGGGAAAAGATTTAACATCCGTCGGGATGTCGTCTGTTGGTGCATCATTCAACTCGCTTTCTGTTGCCGTTTTGGCGGAAGGCGTTGTTTCTTTTACCGACTGCGGGGGCTTCTGAAGTCCACCCTGTGTCCCTGGTGACCATGCTTGTTTTCTTTTCGAGCCTACAATTTAAGGAAAGTCAAAGACATTAGAAGTGATCACGACGAGAGAAATGTTTTACAAAACCTAAGTACAGTGCGGTAGATATTTCATGCAAAATACCGAAATTTGCGAAGATTGGTCATCACTCGCAAATCGGTATTAAGTAGGGTTGTGGTACGGATTACCATGCAGCCTGATCTCAAATCATTTCAGTCGCGTCAGGATGCCGGTTTTTAACAAGATTCTTTCTGACCACTTACAAAAATACTTTCTGAAACATATGGCTGTTGAAGTAGTATGCATTTACCTCTTTGATTTCCACTGCCCTTGTAAATTTAAATATATTTTGTAGAAAACATGCAAGAAAATATTCGTTCTTGTATTCGTTTGCAAGAAAATAAACCCTTATTCAAATATTATACTTTAAGAAGGCGTATCTTTCTATTAAAAAAGTTCCTAAATTGCTCAATAATTTTGAAACCTAGCGACCGTTTCACTTGAATTTAAAGGGTTTTAAACTGCATGCTGTGTACATCCTGTTTCAGGAAAACCGCACATTTATCTACGCTATGAGGAAAATGTCGCAAAGTTTTCACAAAACTAAAAACAAATGTGGATCATGCTGTATATATTGAAGGCGACATTAC